TCGATCATAAGATAAAGAGAGTGGAGAGATGAAAGCATATTTCACGGCTACCAAACGATGCTGGAAAACAAAATTTAAATGTCAAACTTTTAAATCGGGTTTTCTTCACGTCATAAAAAACTAGCCTTAAATTTGAATATGAGACAAGAATTCAATATGCGCTGAGGTTTGTACACAAACTTCGATCTATTCACCTACCACTGTTAGTGAATTAGAAACTAATTTCTTCGCATTATGCCTTTTTTTGGGTGGGCAGAGGGGGAGAGGGCAGAAGGGAGCGAAGAGATTCTGAAATCTAATAACCACATCATGTTTTAAACCTACATTCCCTCTCTCTCCCCCTCCCAACTCCCAAAAGAAATATTTCGACTTCGTAGCACTTTATTGTCTTATTATGGCTTAAATCTGAACGTGTAAGGTCATGGCACTAGAGGGAGCTGAAAGTTGATTTCAGACTGTAGCTCCCGATTCTAAAAATCCACTTCCAGCTTTCACAGTTCTACAGTTAAATTATACATAAACAAATTCTGTCAAAGCCGTCAACAGTCGTGAGAATCTATCTAAACGACTAAATTTTCAACACTCTCCGTTTTGCTCTTTTCTGGACTCACCACTGCCAGTGTAAAGTCTACACGGAGATAATTAGAAGTGGCTAACCCGGAACAACAACAAAATGGAGAATTTGCAAGCAGCAACAACGATGAGAAATGAAGATACGTTGAAACAAAAGCCGAGAGACGTATTTAGGTTGCGCAAAAAAGGCAAAAAAAAAAACGTCAAAAAAAAAAGTATTGAAATTTTCCTCTTCAAATAGAAAAGATTAACCCGAAACAAAAAGACGGATTGTCCGCTCGCTTCCCGATTTTGATATCGTCAATCTGCCCATATTTTCGAAATTCGTGGAACAGTTCCCACTGCAACAAATACACCATCTCATTGACGAACAGCACTTTCAGGAAACCCAAGAAAACACAAACCCAAGGAGCACTCAGCAAAGGAAACCAACCTCATCCCATCGTTTCGGCAAACTTGTAAGCTGGGCAGTTTTTCCGTTCCGATCAGCCATACTGAGCAAAATACCGCAAATCAACGATGCCACTGCTTGTTCTTAATGACAGCAAAGCTGACCCACGGCCTAAACAAAACACTCTGTCGAATAATATCCCTCAATTCTATGCAGTGTTATCTGGTGGCTCCGGTTTACTCTGTGCCTCTCGACGCAATCTGCCATGACTGCTGTTACCCACACCTACGCTCCCTAAATGTTCCGCCCACCCCTGCTTCAGTTCTTACTCTCCCCCGGCCCAACCACTTCTCCTGTGTCCATGACTAGGTGATGCAGTAAACACCAGTGAAACAAGTGACATCCCCAGATTTTTGAAATATGCGGCACCTCAAGGGCTCCCGCGCTCGTTTTTAAAGCAGCATATTAAATTTCCTA